TTTTTTTTTTTTTTTTTTCTTTTCAGAGTAAGCTCCACGTCCAACATCCAACATGGGGCTTGAATTCATGACTCTGAGATCGAGAGTCCCATGCTCTACCAACTGAGCCAGCCAAGTGCCCCTCACCATAGCTTTTTTATTTTCAAAGTTTGTTTTGAGGGAGAGAATCACAAGCAGGCTCCACACTCTCATCGTGGAACCCAATGTGGAGCTCGACCCCACAGACTGTGAGATTGTGACCTGAGCCAAAATCAAGAGTCAGATGCTCAACCTACTGAGCCACCAAGGTGCCCAACCATGGCTTTTTAAAACAGTCTCTGGTGTACTATAAAATTATTCTTGGGGCGCCTGGGTGGTTCAGTCGGTTAATCATCTGACTTCGGCTCAGGTCATGATCTCGCAGTGTGTGAGTTCAAGTCCTGTGTCAGGCTCTGTGCTGACAGCTCAGAGCCTGGAATCTGCTTCGGATTCTGTCTCCCTCTCTCTCTTCTCCTCCCCCATTTGCACTCTGTATCTCTCTCAAAAATAAAGATTAAAAAAAAAATTTTTTTTAAATACTATTCTTGTCACCTTAATTCCTGCCTCAGCCCAGCAGCGTGTATCCTACTTGAGAAATCAGAACATATTTTGGATTTGGAGCCCAAGGAGAAAGGAAGGGTGTGGAACACAGTTTGGCTGGCAGGTGGCAAAAACATGAAATGGTCGAGCATCCATTTAAAAACAACCAGTCCAAGGGCGCCTGGGTGGCTTAGTGGGTTAAGCATCCAACTTCAGCTCAGGTCATGATCTCACAGTTTGTGAGTTTGAGCCCCGCATCAAGCTTGTGCTGACAGCTCAAAGCCTGGAGCCTGCTTCAGATTCTGTCTCCCTCCCTCTCTGCCCCTCCCATGCTCATGCACTGTCTCTCTCTAACTCTCAATAATAAATAAATGCTAAATTTTTTTTTTTTTTTTTTTTTTAAAAAAACAACTGGTCCAGGCACCTAGGTGGCTCAGTCGGTTAGGTGTCTGACTTTGGCTCAGGTCATGACCTAATGGTCTGTGGGTTCGAGCTCTGTGTCGGATTGTGTGCTGACAGCTTGGAGCCTGGAGCCTGCTTCAGATTCTATGTCTCCCTCTCTCTGCCTCTGCCTATCTTTTGTGCTCTCTGTGTCAATAGTAAATGCATAAACTTAAAAAAAATTATTAAAAATAAATAAAAACAACCGGTCAAGATGGATTTTATTCTAAATTGTAAAATTTTATTCAGAGACCTTATGTTAATGGAACCAATTCATTCACAGTTGAAAACTGGTTCCTTTATTTGTCCTGATAAAATGTCACAGAATCAGAATTCTGTCTTTAGTTCTCCAATTCCATGAAGGCATTCAGATCTAATATTTTGTACTTACTCACAGGTATGAATCAATTTGGCCAGATGAGTATGCCCCAGCCCCCAATTGGACCCCGGCAAACCTCTCCTCTTCAGCACCATGGACAGTTAGCTCAGCCTGGAACTCTCAACCCAGTAAGTTTGACATCTTTGGGTAATTATCTTGGCCTTTAACATTTAAAAATCCTTTTTATCTGTTTGTACTTTGTAAACAATGCTTATAGTTGCTTAAATAGCTAATTATAAGTGAGTAATTTTAATCCAGATTTTTATCTTTAATTCTATTGTATTTGGCCTTTATTATACACTTAATAAATGATTCTATATGTGTTTTGGAGTTGAGGGTAGTTATTTTTTTAAAGTGGAGTAAGAAAAAACTAAACCATATACCATAATTAGGCAGGCAGTAAATACTAAAATCCCTGATTTTTATCTATCTCTTTTACCTATAAATTGTTTTTAGAAATGTATTCTAAAGAAATCATCACTAAGATACCAAAAGGACATCATTTGGAGAAAATTCATGTTAAGCATCTTGTATACTCTGTTTTGAGGGGGGGGGGTGGAAAGTGGCATCCTGAATGTGCAGTAGGGGATTCACAATGGTTAAATTATGGTACATTCATAAATTGTAATGCTCTACAAGCAATAATTTCAGAACTTACATGTTGGCATAAAAGCTGTTTACAGCCTTAAATGAAAAACCAAGTTTCTAAAGTGTATGTATTATAGGATCCAATATAGTTAACTCTCTTGATTATAATCTGTGTAAAATAAACACTTAAAAAATTTTTGTTTCCAAGTACTATTCATAGTCCTAGTACTAGAAAACTCATAAGAGCATCCAGTCACCTTTCCCTGGAGTTTCATTGTTTAGTAGTTTGCACACTTTGATAGTCCTTTCTCTTTTATAATGCTCATCAAACATACAGCCTACCCAGGTAGGAAACTGTCTTTTGCAACAACGATGGAGGAACAATTGCTTGGTTCTAGACACTGGAGAAGAGGGACTCTGAGCATCTCACTGCTCCTTTTGCAGTCCACCTTTCCATGTTAACCCCAATCCTAGCCCTTTGAGAATTAGCTAGCGCCTCTAATCCTTGAGCCATTTTGGAGTTGTCTAGCATGTCTTGGTGCCATACTGCCATTGTTATAAGATAAATATCTTATTATTGTGCCAATGCTGTATACAAAAGCTGTGGCTGAACTTGGTAGCATTCATGGTCCACAAATACTTGAGGATTGTTACTTTTTTTTTTTTTTTTTTAATGTTTGGTGAAGTTTTTGGCCTTTGGTATTTCATAATTTCTCTATTAAAGGCCTGTATTGGGGGCGGGGGGGATTTTAGACATGAAATGTAACAGTCCTCAAGGTAAAGCACATTTCCACTGGAGAGTACCCTCATGCCTCCTTCTACTTAATTCCTATCCCCTTTAGACAATGGATACCATGATTTCTGTAACCTGGATTAGCTTTACTTGTTTCTTAACTTCATATAAATGGGATCATTCAGATGTACTGTATTGTGTCTGACCTTTTTGGCACAACATGATGGTTTTGATGTTCACCTACACTGTTGTTTATATCAATAATTCATTAAAAAAATTTTTTTTTAACATTTATTTTTGAGAGAAAATGCGTGAGTGGGAGAGGGGCAGAGAGAGAGAGGGAGACACAAAATCCAAAGCAGGCCCCAGGTTCTGAGCGTTCAACACAGAGCCCGACGTGGGGCTCACACTCATAAACCATGAGATCATGACCTGAGCCGGTGTTGGACACTTAACCAACTGAGCCATCCAGGCCACCCAGTAATCCCATTTTTTATTGCTGAGTAGTATTCCATTTTGTGAGTGTGCCACAATTTGTTTATTCTTTGCTATTGATGGACATTTCGAATATTTCCAGTTGTTGACTATTATGAATAAAGCTACTATAAACATGTTTTCACCAAAAATAGAAAGAGATGTAACAGTCCTCAAGTATTTGTGGACCATGAATGCTACCAAGTTCAGCCACAGCTTTTTAAGATTTTAATTGTACCGATTATGGAGTCTTATAATTGTGATGTTACAATGTCATGACATGAGCAAAGACCTCATGAAGTTGTAGTTCATGATCACTTAACAAACAATATGCAAAAGCAGTTACTTCTGTACCTTGTCAGGTGCATTTGTGTATTGGGAGAATCGGTTTGTGTGTAACCTCCTGTAATTGCTTTAGAGTAGGCCTTGGTCAGCTTTGAGGGTGTTCTCCACTATCTTTGCATGAGAGTCCACTGTTGCACACTTTCTTCCTTTCCTACCCCACCTTCCCCTCAGCAGAACCAGAGTAGTTGGGGATTCTGGCTGTAGTAGAATAACCACAATGAAGCAATTTGGTGCTCTGTGTTTATTCTTTCCCCCCTCTGCAGCCAATGGGCTATGGGCCTCGCATGCAGCAGCCTTCCAGCCAGAGCCAGTTCCTTCCCCAGACTCAGTTTTCAACACAGGGAATGAATGTAACGAATATGCCTTTGGCTCCGTCTGGCGGTCAGGCACCGGTGTCTCAAGTATGTCCCACGGATGGGTTTTTTTTACTTGTTTTTGTGATCCTTGAAACTTCTCTTGATCTGGCAACAAATAATGCGTCAAAATAGATTTTTTTTTAAAGTTTTTAATAAGAACAATTATGGACATATGGTATTCTGAATGTGAGTTTACCATGACATAGCAATGCTACTAATTGTTACAAACAAAATAGATTAAATTGATTAAAGTAGCAAACACTTTTTAAAATGAATTCTGAACATGAGATTACTATGACATAGCAATGCTACTAATTGTTACAAAGTAGATTAAGTCGATAGTTGTAACCATTTGTTAAAGTAGCGTACACTTTTTAAAATGAAATCTTAGAACTTTAATGCAAAAGAACTGTGACTGAAGAGAGCAGAGCCAGGCAGAAAATACTGTGGACTCAACTGTCCCGTGCCTCTACAGTGGCTGTGGCCATTCTGGTGGGTTTTTTTGAAGCCTACTTAATTAAATACTACATTGGTTGGATTATCTGAAGACATGCCCCTAGTAACAAGATTTTTGACATATTTTGAAGTGGAAGCATATTGCATATAGGCTGCCTATGTAATTACTTCTTGCATTGTGTTCTGAGTCGTCATGTTGTTGTTTCTCATTTAACAGGCACAGATGTCCAGTTCTTCCTGCCCTGTGAATTCTCCTATAATGCCTCCAGGGTCTCAAGGGAGCCACATTCACTGTCCCCCTCTCCCTCAATCAGCTCTGCATCAGAATTCACCCTCTCCAGTACCTAGTCGCACCCCCACGCCTCACCACACTCCCCCAAGCATAGGGGCTCAGCAGCCACCAGCAACAGCAATTCCAGCCCCTGTTCCTACACCTCCAGCCATGCCGCCTGGGCCACAGACCCAAGCTCTCCATCCACCTCCAAGGCAGACACCTACACCGCCACCAACGCAACTCCCTCCCCAAGTTCAACCTTCACTTCCTGCTGCCCCTTCCGCCGACCAGCCGCAGCAGCAGCCTCTCTCACAGCAGAGTACAGCAGCATCTGTTCCCACCCCAACGGCACCGCTGCTGCCTCCACAGCCTGCGACTCCAGTAAGCAGAGACATGTGTTTTGGCAGAATCCTTCTAGCTGTACCCTAGTGTTAGATTATTTATGTGCGGTTTGTATTCTGTATTGTGCCGTCTCCCCAGTTAGACCAGAATCTCTCTGTAGTTAGGGACTTTCTTTTCCTTCCTGTTCTTGCCATTGTAGTACCTAGCATGGAGGGAGCTCAAAGGTTTTGTTTAGGTCCGATGTTGACCATGGTGTGTTTTGTCTTCTACTCCAAGGCTTACAGGCATGTAAGTGGGGTGGCAAGCAGAAAGAATCCATAGTATGTTTAGCACACCACGTAAATTTTATATATTTTAAAGAATCTTTTTTCAGACAGTCTGACCTGTAATATTTGAGAGCAAACGAACAAAACCATGGATCTATGAATGTCTGTGGTCCGAGCCAAGGTTAGAAAATCATGACCTAAAATGAGAAAAGTATGGGTCTGAAACAGTCTGTAACTTTCTTGTGAGAGGCTCATTATGTATGTAGCAGAAATGCAAGTTCACATCTAATAGCTACATCGTTACCAATTCTCTGTGTCAGGGCATAGAACTTTCTACTTGTTAACTGATACTTAATATTTTAGTTTCTGTCCTGTTAGTAAGCCAAGAAGTCCCATGAGTCACAGCTACTTCATAAAACACCATAAGTAAGCAACTGGTTCATCCCAGCCTCTGATAGGTGAGGAACGGCAGAGTGCACAAAGGGAGCTTTTGATTCAGGTAGTTCCTGAAAATACTAACTACTCGGTATGAGGTTTCTTATTGGAAGACTTAGGATAAAGAAATTACCAGTTATCCCGTTAAAACGTGGTGAGTGTGGGAGTTCATTTTATTCTACTTCTTTTGTACATTTGCAGCTTTTCCTGCTGATAAGTTCAAAACAAAACAAAATAGCCAGTCATCCTTCTTTTCTTTCTATTTCTCTGTAAACGTGAGCTCTTCGGAGGCAGTCAGCTCTACGACCCCATCCCTCCCACACTGCCACAGAATGACAGCCAGTGCGGGCTCTCTTAGGTACAGCAGCCAGTCGGCCTTTGCAAGTCCTCAGTCTCTTGTTCTTAAGCACAGTTTACTTCAAGGGAGTGAAATAGGCCGAGTACATGAAAGCACCATAAACGAATAGAATGATACTAGCCTCAAAATAGGTGGTTAATCATACCATCCTGATGCGGAGCTTGAATTCTGGTTGTATACATGGCAAACTTTTGTGTTTTTTCCCCCTCTTTTCTGTCCAGCTTTCCCAGCCAGCTGTAAGCATTGAAGGGCAGGTATCAAACCCTCCATCTACTAGCAGCACAGAAGTGAATTCTCAGACCATTCCTGAGAAGCAGCCTTCACAGGAAGTGAAAATGGAGGCTAAGATGGAAGTGGATCAACCAGAACCAGCAGATACTCAGCCGGAGGACATCCCAGAGGTGAGGGTAGGGCAATGGCTGCTGTTACTTGGGTAGGACCTCTGTCTAGGAACCCCACTAAACCTGTTACAGGAAAGTATTCTGGTAATTAGGTCTCATTTCATGATTTCCACATGAGAAAGACATTTGTCCACAGGAGAGAGTAAATAGGACGGTGATCTTACTGTTTCCTGGTGACAAGTCTTTGGAATAATAAAAATTTCACCTTGTCTTTCAGACTAAAGCAGAAGACTGTAAAATGGAACCTACAGAAACAGAGGAGAGAGGCACGGAGTTAAAAACTGAAACAAAAGAAGAGGAAGACCAGCCGAGTACTTCGGCTACCCAGTCATCTCCAGCCCCGGGACAGTCAAAGAAGAAGAGTAGGTCTCTTAGGCTCTCTGTTCCTGGAGGCAGGGAAAAAAACACAAACTTTGAATAGATGGGGTCGGGTTCTTGGTCTCAGAAATTGACTTTGATGTGATTTCATTAAGCTTGGAGCCCTTTAGGCCTGGTCTCTGTGTTGTTACTGGTGTTGGAGAAGACTTTGTCTTTCCTGTGGTAGGTATATTTGCTTCCTGCAGTCACTGGGTCAGTCACACCCTTCATTTCTCCAGGGTTGGGTGCTTAACAACCTCTCAAAATTGTCTTTTCTTCAGAGGAAGAAATTGTTACGTACCCTTGACTAAAATGCAAGAAACAGTAGCAGCGATAATAAATAGTACTACGTATTGTCAGCCTACTGTATGCACCAGGTACCATGCCACACACCTGTACTCTCCCATCTACTAACTTTACAACAACTCTGGGCAGTTACTGAAAACCTGAGGCTGGGCAAGGTTAAGTAGCTTGCCCCAGCTCACTCAGCTGGTTAAGTGAACCCAGGCAGACCAATTTCAGTCTGCTCCCAGCCAGCTCCTAAATATTAATGAGTCAAACCGAGCAAGCAGCTCAGCTTAGTACAGAGTGTTAAACTCTGTTTAATTCCCACAGAAACTGATTTACCAACTTTGGGACTAGGACTTCTTAGGGCTCTAGTGACACCCTCTATGGCACAGGTAAGGCTTCTTTCAAGGGAGGAATCTGCCGGCTCCTAAAGATGCTGTATATAAAGGTGTTCCATTAATACAATGCAGCTTAAAATGTTAGGGTTAAAAATTTACTTGGATTTAAATAAGGTTTATGTGATCAAGGTGTATTTTAAGGTAGGCTGCAAGAAACCCAATCTCACTGTTAGGAATCTGTCTTTAAAACAGCTAATTTCACAAGTTTGTTCAACTTTGTTCTTTTGAGCACAACCAGATATGAGAAACAAAGAATCCTCTCCCATCTGTTTAATTTTTTTCATGGCTGCCCCACTATGAAGTGAAAAATATCTAAAGTACTAACAAATAAGCTATCTTGAAGATAAAATGATTTTGTAAACAGAAGAAATAACAAAGCCTCTGCTCAGAGTGTTTTAAAGCTCAAACCTGGACCCTTAATGAGTAGCTTCTTAAATAATAGCTTAAATTAATTCCATTTGGGACATACCAGCAAATCTTTCCTGACTTTAGAAACATACCCAAGTACACTGGAATGAAATTTGATCAGTTGAGTCTGTTGTTTGGGCAATAATAATTTAGTTCTCTCTTTGTTTAGACTTGAACCTACCATTTGTTATTAAGATAATAAATATATGTATTCCTCCTAAGCTCTAAAACATCAAGCAGTTTAATGAGGGACTCTTCCCACCAGGGGTTCTGATTCCTTTAGTGGTGAGACAGTATCAGGTCTTCTGACTCGTTATATACTCTTCTCATGAGTGAGGACCTCTTTCTGTTCTTCTTTGACAGCACACCCCCCTCTCCCCCGCCATCACTAGTGTATTTTGGAATTTTTTTTGACCAGTGTCTTCATAAATTTCTGGAATGCTTAGGATGCTGTTTCTACTTGGTCAAGACTATTTTAACTGAATTTCTGATCGAAAAAGTAGCTGAGCTGTTCAGGGTATTTAAAGCAGACTAGACATGGTGTCTACCTGACACCATTTAAAGGCACTACCTGATGTGGACCAAAAATTAGAAATAGGAAGTGTGCTGTAAGTGGTATTTCCATGGAGATGGTACAGGCAGTTTTGTGTTTTGTGGCTCTTGAGATTTGTTTTAATAGCTTCAGCTTGAGCGTTTTCTTTTTCTTTTACTTAATTGATAACTAATTTCAATTGTGCTCTTAAGTTTTTAAACCAGAAGAGTTACGACAGGCACTGATGCCAACATTGGAGGCACTTTACCGACAGGATCCAGAATCCCTTCCCTTTCGTCAACCTGTGGACCCTCAACTTCTAGGAATCCCTGTAAGTATGTGGTGGCATTTTTTTTTTCTTTTTCTTTTTTTTTTTTTTTTTTTTTTTTTTTTTTTTAGTGTTCATGCAGGTGAGTTGAGGAGGAGCAGAGGGAAAGTGGGGGAGAGAATCTTAAGCAGGCTCCGTGCCCAGCATGGACCCCAGTGCTGTGCCATGCTTGATCCCCTGACTGAGATCATGACCTGAACCGAAATCAAGACTCAGACGCTTAACCAACTGAGCTACCCAGGTGCCCCTGTGGTGGTAGTTTTGATTTTTTTTTTTTTTTTTAATTTGTAACAGCTTTATTCAGCTATAATTCACATATTATTCAAGACACTCAAACTGTACAATTCATTGATTTTTGTGTATTGACAGATTTGTGCAGCCATCACCACGGTCAATTTGGGATTATTTTCATCACCCCAAAAAAGAATCCCTGTGTCCATGAGCCCTCATGCCCATTTCCTCCCCCATCCAACCACTAGTCTACTTCTGTCTCTATGGATTTGTTTATTCTGGATGTTTCATTAAATGGAATTATATAGTATGTGTTTCTTTGTGACTGACTTCTTTCAGGGTTCATTCATAATGTAGCACGAACCAGTACTTGATTCCTTTTTATGGCTCAGCAATACTCCATTGTACGGCTGTGCCACATTTTTGTTACCCATTCATTAGTTGATGGACATTTTAGTTGTTTACACTTTTGGGCTATTGAGGATCGTGCTGCTGTGAATGAACATTCATGTATAAAATTTTTGTGTGGTATATGTTTTTGTTTCTTTGGGGTATATACCTAGGATCGTGATTACTGGGTCGTAGGCTTATTTATTTTTATCACCTGAGTAGCAGTAGCTCTGGTAGAAAAGATGGACCCAAAGTAACTTCCTCTGTTTTTATTTATTTATTTATTTTTTTTTTTAATTTATTTTTGGGACAGAGAGAGACAGAGCATGAATGGGGGAGGGTCAGAGAGAGGGAGACACAGAATCGGAAACAGGCTCCAGGCTCCGAGCCATCAGCCCAGAGCCTGCCGCAGGGCTCGAACTCACGGACCGCGAGATCGTGACCTGGCTGAAGTCGGACGCTTAACCGACTGCGCCACCCAGGCGCCCCTTCCTCTGTTTTTAAAATTGCCTTTGCACACCAGACCGCTGGCACACTTCATTTGAGGCTTGTCAGTGGTATTGGATAAGGCAGTGGAGTGCTTACAGGGGCAAAATTCATTAGGAACTTCTTTTTCCCTATATTTTTGAGGCCTTAGATCACTGAAGTTCACTGGGCTTAGTTTTCTCAAGAGTAGGCCCCTTTTAATACTAAAATGTTAAGGCTGTTTTACTTCTTGGTGTTTCAATGGATCACACATACACTGTGGTAAAGTATCTGGAGTTGTTTTAGTAGATCATCAGCCTGCTGTCTGAAAAGTTTATGTAGTGACTCTTGTTATTTCTGCCCTCTGAGTTGCTTCATATCTCTGTAGCCTAATAATTTAAAGAAGTGATAGGTATCAACTTAATTCCTTGGACATATAGTCAGGACAGCAACTTAACTTTTCTGGAAAATTAATGATTATAGGAAGAAACACCAGCTACCTTAAATATACTGAGACTTTGGGGTAATGTTGCTTGGTGTCACTTACCCTTCTAGGATTACTTTGATATTGTGAAAAGCCCCATGGATCTTTCCACCATCAAGAGGAAGTTAGACACTGGACAGTATCAGGAGCCCTGGCAGTATGTGGATGACATTTGGCTTATGTTCAACAATGCCTGGTTGTATAATCGGAAAACATCACGGGTGTACAAATACTGCTCCAAGCTGTCTGAGGTCTTTGAACAAGAAATTGACCCAGTAATGCAAAGCCTTGGATATTGTTGTGGCAGAAAGGTAAGAAATTTTTGCATGGTAAGAATTATTGAAAACTTGACTAATAGAATCCTGAATCATCAGATTGTAAACTCATAATAGGGCTTTGGATCTTACTTATCTATGGGTGCACAGTGCCTGGCACGTACTGTTGTTTTCTTGCACACCAGTTCACATGTAGCTCCTCTTGTCCCATTGAGTTTTTTTGCTAAGTGGCTGAAGGATATGACTGCTAAGCCTACCTCGGAGTGGTGACATAATACTGTACCGTAGTCTCTCCTTACCTGTGGTTTCACTTCCCGCCATCTCAGTCAACCATGGTCCAGAAGCAGAGATTCATCTTCTGACGTATTGTCAAAAGGTCAATATTGTTTATGCTACATCACAGTGCCTCCATCGTTCATGTCCCTTCATCTCATCACCTAGGCATTATATCTTCTGTCATCACAAGAAGGGCGGGTACAGTGCAGTAAGATATTGAGAGAGCCCACAATCACGTAACTTTTATTACAGTATGCTATTGTAATTGTTCTATTTTATTACTAGTTATTAATCTCTTACTGTGCCTAATTTGTAAGTTAACTCTGTCATAGTTACGTACGTATAGGGAAAACCACAGTATGTATAGGGTTTGGTGCGGTCCACAATCTTAGGCATCTACTAATGGTCTCTGCCTGTGGATCAGTGGGACTGCTATAGTATAGTCAACTAGAATGGTTGTGGTTCTGTGTATTGCCTTGGAAACTGAAATAGCTCGTTAACTGCATAAATGAGAACTAAGAATTCACTGACTTTTGTTTCTGATTTGCCAGTGTAAATATTCTAGCTTGTCTTGCAGGTGTGTGTACTATTTAACAAATGGTTTCTGTTGCAGTTGGAGTTCTCTCCACAGACACTCTGTTGCTATGGCAAACAGTTATGCACAATCCCTCGTGATGCCACTTACTACAGTTACCAGAACAGGTAAGCTCAACTATGTGTGGACCATGGTCCGTGTATCCGTGTGTCCAGGGACTGCATGCGGATGGACCAGCACACATACATTCATGGTCATGTGTACCTTGCTTGAAAACAGCTGTACAGCACAAGTTCTGGTCCTAGCATTCTGCCTTTTTTGCAGGATTAGTGTAGTTTTCTAGCAGGAAGTAGCCTTCTGTCAGTTATCTGGCCCCTTATTTTTTATAAGGCAGGAACTCAAAGCCTTGGGAGGTTAAGCAGCTCAAAGAGTTGGTGGCATAGATGGGATTACATCGTGGCCCCCGCTTCTCTTTCCCATTTCTGTTCACAGCTTACCACAGCCTGAGGCAAACTGAGAAAATTTGTGAACGAATTAGTGTTTTCTTGTCCATGAAACTGCTGCTATCGCCTTTCCCAAAAACTATCCACAAACTTTTAACCAAAAGTTTGTTAGCCAGCTGTATCATTTGGGATATGTTTCATTTTTGTGTGCAGCCTCTCCATAAATTGTTCTTCTCAGAGCATTTGAAAACAGGATTTCAGAGTTTCTGCTTTGCCCGGGTTAACCATATAAAAAGGAGTACCTCCAAAAATAGGTCTGCACCAGACTTACTTAAAAAAAGACTTGCATATGACAGTGGATGGTAGAGTTGTAATAAATTAGGTGCCCCTGCTTTATCTTCTCCTGCCCAAACAATGGCTGTAATCCCAGAGATGGCATTCAGTAATCTATTTTAACTAAGATCTGTCTCCTAGATTCATTAATTAGCCTACAATATAACATGCACAGAATGTTTACTTGGGGCTCTGAAACGGTAATAACAAGGCTGGGCAGTTAATATCTTTTAATAAAACCAAGCTCATCGTGGTGGTTTTTGCTGAACTTGTGTGCTACAGATGCATTTCCAGCTTTGAAAAAGTCACTTGAACTTTTTGTTTTGATGACAAAAAGGTGCGCTCTCGTAATGGTTTGTTGTAATCATTAGAATCCACAGTTTTTCACTCTTAATACCTGGGGAAAACCCTCAAGTTGTTAAAAGCACTTGCATTTTAAAAAAACAAGTTAACAACTGGCATGAAGTTCTTCTCATGCTGCAGTCTTGACATTTATACCAGTTTGGATTTTTTAACATGAATCTACAGTGTTTGTAATCTTTGTATCCAGAACATGTCATCATGTGCCTGCACACACCACTGCCTTTCTTTCTTGCCTTTTAAACTATGTCAGTTGATGGCTACGATCCATATTTAAGCACTTGTGCAGATTTTTCATTGAAAAATAGAGAATTTTTTAAATTTATGTGCCTTCCTTGGGAACCAAAAAGAAATTTTGTGGGTTTTTTTCAACCCAGGGCTGTTTTTAGGTAATTGCTTCCTGGTCTTGTATTCGTAGTGAATTTTTTGTTATTTATTTTGCTGTTATTGGAAATGGGGAGAAGTGTGTGATTGCTGTGTTTCAGTAATAGATTAGCAATTCTTCTCTCTCCAGTATGTTTATCCTTCCCCTTTTTGATTATTTGCATCAAATAGCATTAATTACTAAAATGAAAGAATGTAGGTCTGTGTAAGTGATACTTTTTTGTTTTATTTGCTGTAATCATTTGCTGCTTGTGATCCCATTTGAGATATTTAATGCTAATCTGTGCTTTGCCTTGGCTTTCTGCTTTGTGTTGTCTTGTCTTGCTTTTATGTTTTTTGTTGTCCTGCAATCCCTCATTTCTTCGTTTGTTTTGTGTTTTTTTTTTCTCCCTCATGCTTGTCGTTGTCTGCACTTGGCTTTGATTGCAAAAAAAAAAAAAACAAAAACAAAAAAACAAAAACAAAAAAACCCAAACTGTGGGGCCCATAAATCTGCATCATTGAATGTCCTTGTCGCCGTTGATGACCTGCTCTCTGCTCCCGTCCCCCTCCTTGGCCTGCTGTGATTGGTGGCTTCGTTGCTTGGCTTGGGCTGTGTTGTGTGAACGGAACAGTTCACCCCAGTATGGCCTTCTTGCCGACAGGTATCATTTCTGTGAGAAGTGTTTCAATGAAATCCAAGGGGAGAGCGTTTCTTTGGGGGATGACCCTTCCCAGCCTCAAACGTAAGTAACTGCATTATTTTGGGAAGTGCTGTCTTGGTGTGTTGTCAAGTGCTGATGCTAAAGCTTTTTTAAGTGGTCTTGAGTTACACGGCCTGTGTAGTAGCCGTTAGCCGGTTTGCTATTTAAATACAAATTAATGAAAAGGAAATAAAACATTATACTCACGCTGCAAGTGCTAAACTAAACAGACATTTGTGGTTAGTGGCTGCCATGTTGGTCAGCACAGATAGAGAACATTTCTGTCACAGCAGAAAGTTCTGTCAACCCTAATCTAGGAAATATATCAACACTGGATGGTCATTTCGATCTCTCTTTATAAGGAAACAATGAGCTTTTTGCCTAAAAACTGGAAGACTGTAGTGCAAGAGAACTTTATTATTAACGGTTTTAAGTTTGCGGGAATTGAACAAATAACTACCTTACAGCCTTCATCACATAGCCATTTATTAGAGTGACCTAGAAGAGAGAGACTGGTTGGGTGTTTGCAGTCTCACAAGCTCTTGCTAAATTCCAGGACAAATTTCAGATGTAGGCTAAATTAGTTAATAGTTCTTCTGATTGCTAAGATGTAGTTAGTGTGCTTTTAATATTCTTGGGTTCCTTCTTTCCTGGTTTAACCTATAATAAGCAGAAGCGGTTCAGAACATTCCAAGAAGTGAGGAATTGTTATATTACTAGTTAATATAGGGCTTCTGAGGAAAAACTGGTTCGCTTTTCCAAATTAAGTCTTAACGTTGCACTTTTCCTTCAGTTACTATTGAAATATGATGTGGTAGAGTCTAGCCTTAAGGAAATTTTCTGACCCTTGGGTGAATTGAATTAGGCTGACAGCTCTTAACTAGGTTTCCCTGATGTGGAAAGGAAGGCAGCCTTACCGGTACAGTTGAGTGACTTCCCACATGTCCTAAACGTTAGGACAGTGCATCTCTTACACTGAAGACTATAGAAACCCCCATCCGATTCTGCAGGTCTGTAGTGGGCCTGAGAGGCTGCATTGTTGACCAGCTTCTGGGTGTTTCTGCGCTGCTGGTCTTTAGAAGACACTTTGAGTTGCAGTGCCTTCGGTCATTTAGAGAATAATGTCTAGAACCATAACCAGTAGGAAACGGTTTGAAGGTGGAGATGTCCTCATTTTTGTGAAGGGGAGTTGCAGTAGTCACAGTTGGGCCTCCTGAAGTTTATTCTAGGTGGAGAAGGAATAAGACTGTTAGCGTCTGTATTTGTGAGGCTAGGAGTTGTGTGGTATGCTAGATTTCAGGATAGGAGGCCATGTGAAAGTCTTAAATACTATAAAATGAAGAATTTTTACCCTTTAAAATTACCCTTTCTGGGTAACTGTAAATAACCTGAAATAGGTATTCTTAATATTGAGGCTTTTTTTATTTATATAAAAAGTTTGACTAGAGTATTAATTTTAGTGGTTTAGCTTCTTCCATATACACCATCTTTCATAGCTCAGTCTAGGAACATTCAACTATTAAATGATACAAATACTAGGGAAACCTGGCTGGCTCAGTCAGTGGAGTTATGTGACTCTTGATCTCAGTGTTGTGAATTCAAGCCCACATTGGCTGTAGAGATTACTTAAAAATAAAATCTTTAAAAAAGAAAAAAAAAGGTATAAACACCTGATGTTAAGAGTAGTAGACAAGATTTAAAAAGGAAAAGAAGAGGGGTGCCTGGGTGGCTCAGTCAGTTAAGCATCCAACTCTTGATTTCGGCTCAGGTCATGATATCTCCAGTTCATGAGTTCAAGCCCCGTGTCAGGCTCTGCGCTGATGGTGCGGAGCCTGCTTAGGATTTTCACTCTCTCTCTGTCCCCCTCTCCCTCTCCCTCTTCTTCTCCCTCCCTCCCTCCCTCCATCTCTCTCTCTCTCTCTCTTTCTCTCCCTCCCTCTGCCCCTCTCTTTCTGCCCCTCCCCTCCTCGCTTGTTCTCAAAATAAATGAGTACATATATGCATACACATAAATATAAAATTACATATATATAAATAAGTTATAATATTTAATATATATTAAAATTCTCCAGAAAGAAAAGAACAGACTCATGTTTCCAGTTGTTGAGTTCCTGGGTTCTCCATTTCCTATAAGGGGAAATAGATTTACTATAAATTCCTTTCTAAAAACAAAGGCATTCCTTTATGTTATTGTACGTTTTGTGGGAGCCAAGAACGTACCTGTTTAATGATATTCTCAGTATTTTCTTAGAAGTATAATTCGTTTACAAGATTTGTTCCTTTGGTTAGAATAGTGGTCAGACTGCTTCTCTCTCCATATCACTTTTGCTCATTGCGTCCCTCTTTTCTCCTTAGTACAATAAATAAAGAACAATTTTCCAAGAGAAAAAATGACACACTGGATCCTGAACTGTAAGTAATTTCCCTTGAATAATCAGTACACTTTGGTGTTCCTTCTTCCTTCGTTCTCTTGGTTTGCAGAGGCAGTGAGATGGTTCTATATCCTGAGGATACCTGTACATAACATACGTGCAGCATAGATGGTAGAAAGGTGGAAGTTTGCTTTATAGTCCATATTCGTTTAGATTTCACTAAATCCAACTGATAGTTTGGTGCTTTATGGGCCCATGTGAAGCCACAACACACCTCTGCTCGGTGTCCTGTGTTCTGTCCCTGTTTCCTGGTGCATTTTCAAACGTCTTCATGCTCCCCTACTTTGTAGCCAGGCCATTCAGAGCACTGAACTGTGCCAGTACTCTGGGCACGCCTAAAATGGGTAGGATGGTGTCGGACTTCTTTGGAAGTTTAAAAAAGCAGCAGTGAGCTTTCACTTATTACTGTCTACCCACAGTCCATTTAAAATGGTCACATTCAGGGGCACCGGGCTGGCTCAGTCGGTAGAGCGTGCAACTCTTGATCCCAGGGTTGTGAGTTTGAGCCCCATGTTAGGTGTAGAGATTACTTAAAAATAAAATCTAAACAATTAAAAAAATTTTCCCATTTGGTAGCTTAACTTAATTGCTTTTGAATTTGTTCTGCCTGTTAATATTAAAGAGCTTTTAAAAACTAAAAACCTTTTTAAAAAAATAGCTATTAATTCATTTCTTTGAATGTGATGTTTGGCTATCTTTTGAATTGTTCAGAAATCAAGGGAAATGTTGGGAAATTTTGATTTGGTTAAAGTTTTGGATTTCATCTTGACTTTTTGGCTTTTCATTTTCAGGTTTGTTGAATGTACAGAGTGTGGAAGAAAGATGCATCAGATCTGTGTCCTTCATCATGAAATCATTTGGCCATCTGGGTGAGATGGCAGTATTTTTTCTAGAGTTACTTTTCATTGTGCATTTTAGCAAGTTTTTGGTTTTGCAGTGGGAATGGGAAGAGATAATTAAAATTCACTTTTAAAACATTTAGTAAGCTAGAATCCAAAAATATAGGTCTTTTAATTTGCATGCATTGCTTTAATCCAAATACAGATATTTTACTCTGTTGGTTTTTAAAGTTCTCTTGTAAAGAATTTATATCAAAAATAAATGTTTTTGAAAAATCAGTAGAGATAAGAAATCTCTAGCACCTGAAAACTAGCAAAGGGGTGTGTTAGAAGCAATTAAAGTTGCCAGGTTTTGAACGCTGCTTATACTGGCAACAGTAGAAAAATGGGAAGATCTGGAGGGTGTTGATGGGGCAGCTCTGTTGTTACCTCTGAGAAAATGTCATGCTGTAAATGATACGCTAAATGGTGATGCTGGTTAGGATTTGATGTTTTGGGGGTTGGACGTAAGTTTCATGGCTATCGTCCAGTGAAGACAGTTTCATAAAAATGACTAGGTACAGACTTTAATAAACAAGCTATTCTTTAGCCCCATGTTCTGTTTCTGAATATTCTCCATGTATTTACTCAAGCTTCATATTATCAAAGACTTTGTCAGCAATGAGTGGATTTTTGTCCATTCTGACACTTGTCTGCTACTCTGGGTCTCCTGTTACTCTCCAGGAATGGGAGTTGATCCCAGCTCTGTTCCAAGGGTGGGAGTGTCTATGCATGAAGTGACTCAGATGAGATCTAGGGGTGCCTGGCTGGCTCAGTCAGAAGAGCATGTGACTCTTGATCTCAGGGTCACAAGTTCGAGCCCTATATTGGGATAGAGATTACTTAAATGAATAATAAAAACTTAAAGATGGGATGTCTGCACTGCTCTACGCTTTGTTGATGCTGGTTTGGAGGTCACAGAAAAGAGGCAGCTAATCTACACATTTCTCAAAAGTAACACACAGGGAAAATCACAGTCATTTGATGTGTATATGGCTTGTCTTTAGATATGCCTTTTTCCTGTTCTCCTTAATTACAGAGTAGGTAGGAATAGTTGAGAGACTTGCAGTGCTTCTTGCGATTTACTGGTTAATGAACGCTTGTATGTTCTCAGGTTTTTGTAAGAAATTCTACTTACGCACACATCCTTAAATAATTCGGACAAAGAGTGTACCTTCTAAATCTGTTGGTACTGGGGCTCCTGGGTGGCTCAGTCTGTTAAATGTCTGACTCTTGATCTCAGGGTTATGAGTTCAAGCCCTGCATAGATACGTAGATAGAGATATATAGATACATATAAATAAATCTGGTACTCCTCTCAAAGTGTACTTATTTACATTCCTGCCAGTAGGCATTTGGATTTTTGCCAATGTGATTGGCCAAACAAATTCTTGTTTTCATCTGTAATCCATCATCTTGTCACATGTCAACCAGTTTATATGCTTATATGTTTATATGCTTAACATTTCCTCATGGTTTTTTGCATGTTTTTCAATTATGGTTTTTATACTTTTTTTTTTCTTTTAGTGATTTCTTCATAATGCTCTTTGTATATTAATTAGATTAACTCGTTAAATATTTAGAAATATTTTTCTCAGGTTGTCTTTTGGATTTAACTTGGTACATATATATGGTAAATTTTGTGGCATATGTTACTTTAAGTGTTTCTCTAAGCTGTGTAAGCAAAGTTCTGGTTTACGTTTTAGATTTGTCTGCGATGGCTGTTTAAAGAAATCTGCACGAACCAGGAAAGAGAATAAATTTTCTGCTAAAAGTAAGTTTCATTCTTACAAGTAAATCTTGGCAATACTTCACTGAAGCATAGTTAAAAATAACCATCCAAGGGGCACCTGGCTGGTTCAGTTGGAAGAGCATGTGACTCTTGATCTCTGGTCATGAGTTCAAGCCCCTTGTTGGGTATAGAGATAACTTAAAGATAGGTAGGTAGGTAGGTAGGTAGGTAGATAGATAAAGAACTTATAGATAGATAGATAGAACATACATACATAGGAAGGAAGGAAAGAAAGAATAAACCATCCAAAATGAATTTTCTTCCTTCAACCTTATTTAAAATATTTAATTAAGCAAAGTCAGAACCAGAACCCAAAATTTTTTCTATAATCTACCTAAAGGTAAATAGTAAATGTACTTTGTGGTGTAAAATTCATTAGACCTGGGGCTCCTGGATGGCTCAGTCAGTTAAGCTTCTGACTTCGGATCAGGTCATGATCTCATGGTTTGTGAATTCAAGCCCTGCATCAGACTCTGTGCTGATAGTGCACATGATAATAATAAACATTACTTAAAAAAATTTTTTTAACGTTTTATTTATTTTTGAGACAGGGATAGACAGAGCATGAACAGGGGAGGGTCAGAGAGAGGGAGACACAGAATCTGAAACAGGCTCCAGGCTCTGAGCTGTCAGCACAGAGCCCGATGTGGGGCTCGAACTCACGGACCAAGAGATCATACCTGAGCTGAAGTCGGCTGCTTAACCGACTGAGCCACCCAGGCCCCCCAATAAACGTTATTTAAATGTTTAAATAAACATTAGAGAAATTTATTAGACTTAAGGGAAAAAATTGTACATGTGGAGGATATGTGGTTTTCTTGTTTGTTTGTTTGTTAATGTTTCTTGGAGGGAGGGAGACCTCTGGGGGTAGATGGGCAGACAGAAAGGGAGAGAGAGAATCTGACACAGGGCTCAATCCCACAAAACGTGAGATCGTGGCCTGAGCCAAAATCAAGATTCGGATGTTCAACTGACTGAGCTACCCAGGTGCGCTGGATACATGTTTTTCTTTTTCCTACATTTCTTCATTTTGGGGCATTTCTTAACAGGGGCCACATGTGGAAATATTTGTCCAGAGTTGCCATCCCATGAGTCATTACCTCAGTTTTATCCATACCATTAGTTGGGGCTTCTTTTATAATCTTGATTGGGGATTTGGGGGAGTGGTAGTCAAAGATTGTATCATACAGCTGGTATTATCTCGCGATAGTATTTGATTTAATTTTGTAGATGCCTTTGCAAATTTTTGCTGACCTACAGGTTGCTTTTACTCCTGCAAGGTTTTTCCCAATACCCAGCCATTGTTATTTTTAAATATTACTACAGTCAAGGGAAAGTGCATATGGATGTTCTTTGTTTTAACATCTGAGATTGGAAATTTTCCCAACTAAAAGGTTAGGGGAGAACATTTAAAAAGTATTGGCTACCAGGGCGCCTGGGTGGCTCAGTCTGTTGAGCGTCCGGCTTCGGCTCAGGTCATGATCTCGCAGTTTGTGAGTTCCAGCCCCGTGTCGGGCTCTGTGCTGACAGCTCAGAACCTGGAGCCTGTTTCGGATTCTGTGTCTCCCTCTCTCTCTACTCCTCCCCCACTCATGCGTGTGCTCTCGCTCACTCGCTCTCTCTCTCAAAAAATAAATAAACATTTAAAAAAAATTTTTTTTTAAGTATTAGCTACCATGCCTGCCTCACCTATACTAAAATCTATGCTAAAATTGGAATGATATAAAGATTTGCATTGCTCCTGTGCAAGGTTGGTACACAAATTTGTGGAATAGTCCATATTTTTTTAAAAATTGTTTTCAAGTATTGACCACATTGTTTTTTGGTTTTTGTTTTAATTTTTGTAATGTTTATTTTTGAGAGAGCAGGGGAGACACAGAATCTGAAGCAGGCTCCAGGCTCTGAGCTGTCATCACTGAGCCTGACACAGGGCTCGAAGTCATGAACCATGAGATCATGACCTGAGCCAAAGTCGGACACTTAACCGACCAGGCCACCCAGGAACCCCCACATTGCTAGCTTTTAATAAAAGTTTATCCTATTTATACCAAAACAGAAAGGATATTTGATATTGAAGTCTAAGACTTGATAGAAATAAATTTGCACTGTGGTTACAACTGAACTTTTCACTTCTCCATTCCTAGGGTTGCCATCTACCAGGCTTGGCACCTTTCTGGAGAATCGTGTGAATGACTTTCTTAGGCGACAAAATCACCCTGAGTCAGGAGAGGTCACTGTTCGGGTAGTTCATGCTTCTGACAAAACTGTGGAAGTCAAACCAGGCATGAAAGCAAGGTATCTAGTAATGTTCCCTTTTCTTCTCCTATGGTTCTGCAAATGCTTATACAGTCACTGCTGATGATTCTGATCTGAATGAGGTGTTGTGGTTTTTCCCTCTAATCTGAATTGTGTAGGTTTGTAGATAGTGGAGAGATGGCAGAATCCTTTCCATACCGAACCAAAGCCCTCTTTGCCTTTGAAGAGATAGACGGTGTTGACTTATGTTTCTTTGGCATGCACGTTCAAGAGTATGGCTCTGACTGCCCTCCGCCCAACCAGAGGTAGGAATTAACATCTGCCTTCCAATTTAAATGGGAGTTTGAAGTTTAATAGGCAAAAAGCATCATGGGCAGGAAACTGATGTACTTGGTTTGGAAATGGAAATGTGGATTCTCACTGCTCAGTAACACTCTTCTGTGGCCTTAGTATATCAGGAAGGGGATATGAACAACAGCCTCAAATCAGAAGTGGGAAGCAGTGGGCTTAAATCTAGATTGTGTTAACAAGCACCTTGCCTGAGAGGTATATGAAAGAATGTCACACAAAAAAAGTTAGGATATGGTTTTGAATTTCTTGTTTCCAAAATAGTATAAAGGCCAGAATAAGAACACTGCCAGAATACATTTGGATCCATAAATACTGATTCATATACTCTGCTTCAGGCTCTACTGGGCACTGAGATTAGAATAGAGCCATAGGCTCATGAAACTCCCCTGAAGTGTTCACAGTCTAGTCATTTATCTGTGACTACGTGATGTGCATTACAAATGAGGTTTAAAAAAAAAAAAAAAACCCAGAAGAGAGAAAATATAATGTCACAAGTCACATAAGGAGTTGGTTTCTTGACTTGGTTTCTTTCTCCCCACTTCGTATAGGAGAGTTTACATATCATACCTCGACAGTGTTCATTTCTTCCGTCCTAAATGCTTGAGGACCGCAGTGTATCATGAAATTCTAATTGGATATTTAGAATACGTCAAGAAATTAGGGTAAGAATATTGATCAATACTATTTTTACTTTTTTGTGGTTTTTTTTGTTTTTTTCTTTTTTGATCATTTATTTTTGAGAGTGCATGAACAGCGAAGGGGCAAAAAGAGAGGGAGACAGAGGATCCGATGCAGGCTTCGCACTTACAGCACAAAGCCTGATGCGGGGTAGAACTCAAAATCCGCAAGATCCTGATCTCAGCCAAAGTCAGACACTTAACCAACTCAGCCACCCAGGCACCCTGATAAATGCTATTTTTTAAAAGCAATTAGCTTAAACTAACTAGGCTTTAAACTAATCACTGTGTTGTGGTAAGACCTAAGTTAAAACGTACAGATATGTGACTTTTTGGCCCCTTTTCTCAGTGCTGCCAGTCTGACAGTAAGGGATATTTTGACCCTAGTTGTACTTGTCCCAGATTGGTTTTATTTAGTTCAGTTAAGCTGTTGGGTACAGTTTGATTGGAAGGTTGATTGTTACTTAAGGCCAGAATCTTAAAACGGCAGTTGATCTCTGAAACCTGGGTTTCAGAACCAAAAACAGACTAAGGTCGGGAGATACATATATCAGACTGGTTCCTTACCTTCAAGTATATGTATGTGTGCTTAAGAATATTCACCACTTCACCTTGCAAGTTATTACTCTTAACATTTTGCATCTCGTTTAGCTCTCTTGTTGGAATGGACCCATATTCCTTTGCATTGTAGTTTTTGGGTCTTCAAATGCACCTTTTGGGGATCTTTTTTTTGGGATTTTTAGATCCAGGGTTATGCCTGGTTCTGGCCTAAGAATTTTGGTCTGATGCTAAATTGTACACTTTTGTATTATCTTGTAAAAAAAAAAAAAAAATCATTGGTTTCTGTACTGACTCCATCTTGTAGCATTCTTTCTGGAATGGATGATAAATTTTTCTCTTGAATATTCCGTCTATTTGTGTTGATAGATATACAACAGGGCATATTTGGGCATGTCCCCCGAGCGAGGGAGATGACTATATCTTCCATTGCCATCCTCCTGACCAGAAGATACCGAAGCCCAAGCGACTGCAGGAGTGGTATAAAAAGATGCTTGACAAGGCCGTGTCTGAGCGAATCGTCCATGACTACAAGGTCAGGAGGAGTGAGGGGCGATGACAGAACTGGAAATTTACTAATCCTGCTGCTCTGTATTCTGTCATTTGACTATCTTAACAAAAATCTTCTGTTTGTTCTCCCTTTTTCAAAGCAAGAAAAACTGTTTTAAGAGAGACTTAGATCAACAAATCTCTTTTAAAGATGTGACGAGAAATGTATTTTAGCCATTCGTGATTAGAGAGCATCTCACGATAAGAACTTGAACAGATAAGTTTCTTATCTGTTGTTAACTCCTGGGGAGAAAAGCACCAACTGGTTGTTTCCCGAGCAGCATAGAGAGCGGGTCTGTAGCCATGCAGTTTCCAGTATTTGTAGTTTAGGTTGTTTTGAACACATTTCTCAGGAGGTGGGGGATGGGTATAAGGCAGGCATTCCTCACATTACAGTGTCTTGTGTTATCAGGAGTAGTAAAGGCCACAGTGTGATTGATGATGCCTCTGCCTCTGCCATTGGTCCTAGCAGGATAATTTCCTACTTTGTATAAAGGCAGGTAAATCTCCCTGTCCTCACAGGCAAAGAGGAAAGACAAAACCAGAAATACTGACTGCAGACCATGATTTTTCATTGTTTATGACTGAATGTCTCCTCGGGCCATGGGGCTTAGGTATAAAATCTCTGCCACCTTTCTTCCAGATGACATTTTATTATTTTTTTTTTTTTAATTTTTTTTTTTTAACGTTTATTTATTTTTTTGGGACAGAGAGAGACAGAGCATGAACGGGGGAGGGGCAGAGAGAGAGAGGGAGACACAGAATCAGAAACAGGCTCCAGGCTCTGAGCCATCAGCCCAGAGCCCGACGCGGGGCTCGAACTCCCGGACCGCGAGATCGTGACCTGGCTGAAGTCGGCCGCTTAACCGACTGCGCCCCCCAGGCGCCCCCCAGATGACATTTTAATCTTTCATGTTTCTTGTGTCCATTAGCTATGACTGTTTTTGTATGGTAAATGCTTTTTTTAAAAATATTTGTACCTGGGTATTTTCACAGGATATTTTTAAACAAGCTACTGAAGATCGATTAACAAGTGCAAAGGAGTTGCCTTACTTTGAGGGTGATTTCTGGCCCAATGTTCTGGAAGAGAGCATTAAAGAACTGGAACAGGAGGAGGAAGAGAGAAAGAGAGAAGAAAACACCAGCAACGAAAGCACAGATGTAAGGGCTTTGCATTTTCTTTCCAGCTTCTGCCTTGATTCTCATGGGTAATCAGGAGCGGGCTTCAAGTTTTGACTAGGTCTAAAGCTCTCAGGTGTGAAAGAGCTTCTTAAATTGGTCAAGAAATAATTGGCTTAGATAAGTTACTAATGTTCTCTTTCCATGGTTTTAAACCTTTTTAACATCAGATGTTGCCCTCCCCCCCTTTTAAAATGGAACTTTGGATTTCTGGTAATGGAAAACAGAAGGAAGGAAACCCTGAAAAACTGATAGAAGAATCACCTATATAGAACAGGGGGTGGCAAAGTACTTCCTGTAAAGATCCTGATCGTGAATATTTGGGGCTTTTTTTTTTTTTTTTTAACACTACTTTATACATGTACATACCGTTCTTAGCCATATGAAAACAGGCCTGGGCCAGAGTTTGCCAGTCGTCCATACACGACCTGGCTTTTGTCAGAGGACCATCTGAGATTTTCCTGGTCAGTTATTTCTCCATAGCGTAGCTAGAATGGTCTTCGTTGAGTCCAAACTACTAAAGTCACCCTTTAAGTAGCCTGTTGAACTCTTCATAGCCTTGTAGTTTGAGTTGTCTTTTCAAGCTGTTGTTTTATTTTTTACAGTAGACTCATAAAATTCTAGAATGTGAGTGGAAGGAAATGAAACCAAGGTGTTTGGCTCCCTGCTTCCAGTGTATTCTTCAGTATCCCACACTGCTACTCCTTGTTCCCTGTCCTCAATTCTGGAATAGGATGGATAGATCTCAGGAGTCTCCACAAACTGTGAGGCTCTTGTCAAAAAGCTAAGACTGCCATTGCCTTATTGAGGGATCTTAGTGTAGGGATTCTTCACTGGGAGAAAATTAGTACAAAAACTTTAGTAAACTTTAGTTCACCGTAAGTAACAGCTTAAAAAATAGGGTACGTGTAAAAGTTGGCAGAAGGCATAAGATTAGAATCTCTAGTGTCAAAGAAAAGGAGGATCCTTCTACCATTAGTATTATTCAAATCACTTCTTAACAAAAATGTTAACATTTTCTTGTCCCCTCTGTTAACCTGCAGGTGACAAAGGGAGACAGCAAAAATGCTAAAAAGAAAAATAATAAGAAAACCAGCAAAAACAAGAGCAGCCTCAGTAGGGGCAACAAGAAGAAGCCAGGCATGCCCAATGTGTCCAACGACCTCTCACAGAAGCTGTATGCCACAATGGAAAAACACAAAGAGGTAAGGTGTGGCCATTTTGGGAGGAAAAGCAGGGCAGGGGTTCTGAAACACTGCCTACCATGGTTGGCATTAAACACGAGCACAACAGACCATTTGAAATTCAGAAGAAAGAAATCATCCGAGGAGTAAGAAGGAAGAAAAGAGGCTAGCTAGAATAGGAGGTAAGAACAGGAAGTGATACGGATGCTTTGATTTGCAGCTGTGTTAGAAATCTTGATGGCTTTGGATCGTGCTTCATACATTAAAAGCATAAGCATAGCCTGTCTGGGGTTTTTTTGTTCGTTTGTTTGTTTTTGAGAGACAGCATGAGTGGGAGAGGGGCAAAGAGAGGGTGGAGACAGAGGATCTGAAGTGGGCTCTGTGATGACAGCAGAGAGCCCGACCTAGGACTCAAACTCAGGAACTATGAGATCATGACCTGAGCTGAAGTCAGACACTTAACCAACTGAGCCACCCAGGCACCCCCCTGTCCAATTCTGTTTGTAACCGTCAGGACTTCTGAGTTCTAGTGGGTGCCTCATTTGATATTCTCAACCATTAATAGTTACTATTTCAAGCAATATTTTGTGTCACAAGATTCTAGCATAACAGAATAGTTGGGAAGTACCCTTAGAGTACATTGTAATACGTTTGACTTAAGTTGTGGATGTAGTCTATGATTTTATTTACTCTGAAGATGTAAATAGTGGGAATTAGAGTCTGAGGTCGTCAACTTGGGTTTGTTGTCTTAGCTGGAGGGTAACATACAATGGAAGTAATCATGATCGTTACTGGAAGGTTGGCCATAGTAAAGATTTCCAAGGGAGTCACCAGATGATTTTATTTGCCTCTGTTTTGAGTGATTTAGTACAGGCATTCCCCACTTGTTAGATTCAATGCTTTCCTGTGTGTCACATTTTCAAAATGCTCTTCCTTGCTTTGAATGCTTTCTTTGAGCCACAATATTACAAGGTCTAGCGCACGTCAAGGTTCTTTGATGCTTTTAACTTTTGGCATCTGTTTGAGATGTGTCTCTACTAAGTGTGCTCTCTTGCTGTATGTTCTTTTTCTGGAAATGTGTCTTAAGGCTCTTGTTTTATGCAAACACTGCTGCCCAAGTATATTACAAGTGTTACTGCCAGTTCGCTGGTCTCTGGGAAACTGGTAGAATATAGTGTCCAGTACCACAGTTGCTCACAAGGTCCTGATCTCTTAAAGGTACATTTTTCAGTGTAATGAGGTTTCACATTTAGAGACTAGTTAATGTAAAATAGACCTACAATATCAGCTTCCTGTTGCAGCCTTTACACTAATGGTTATAGTAGTTCATGGTGATTGGGTCCTTTCAGAATTTAATGAACAAAACTTTTGCTGTTTCTGCAGCAAGAGCTAAGAAGGTTTTGTTTTGTTTTGTTTTTTCTTTCCCATCCCCACCAACTTTTTAACATTTCAAACTTGCGGAGAGTTGCATAGTGGACCCCCTGCCATAGCCCTCGCTGAGATTCACCAATTGTTCGTGTTTTGCTACATCTTTTCTTTATCCCATTCAAGCTAAGGAAGAAGACCTCCTTTGCTTAACCACACTGTGGCTTCACACTCAGGAGACTTCCCCCAGTGCCACCATCTAATGTCTGGCCCTTCCGCTCCAGTTAAGGATTGTGTGTCAGGTTGAGCTGCCACGTCTCGGTTCCTGGCTTTCTTTTGTTTCATAACATGGCCGTTTGTTGTAAGTCAAGGCCAAAAAGTGTTTCGTAGGATGTCCCTCAATTTGGATTTGTCTGACTTGTTCCCTCTCGATTCAGGTCCAACCATGGATTCGGTCTTAGAGTAGACCACTTTGGGGCAAAATGTGCACTGTCCACGCACTGTGCTTGCCCCAGACCCTTCTTGTTTTGAAGGGATTATTAATGAGAAGGTAACAAGTTGTCGATTTCAGGCCCATTGTAGTCGTTCTCAGAGAAGAGACGAGAGGCTTGTGAGCAGGAGAAAGCAAGGGCTATATCGTGGGACCTTGTGTGATTGTAAGCTCTTCCAGTGGCCCCGGCCTCACGGGCATTCAGCTCGACTCACCTGTTTGCTGCCATTGGCCTGGTGCCACGCGGCGCTCTTGTTCCAGAGTCAGACTGAGGTTGTCTGCTTCACAGGTCTTCTTTGTGATCCGTCTCATCGCCGGCCCTGCCGCCAACTCCCTGCCTCCCATTGTCGACCCTGACCCCCTCATCCCCTGCGATCTGATGGATGGGCGGGATGCCTTCCTCACCCTCGCAAGGGACAAGCACCTGGAGTTCTCTTCACTGCGCAGAGCCCAGTGGTCCACCATGTGTATGCTGGTGGAGCTGCACACCCAGAGCCAGGACCGCTTTGTCTACACGTGCAACGAGTGCAAGCACCACGTGGAGACGCGCTGGCACTGCACCGTGTGCGAGGTGGGCCCCAGGGGTGGGGAGCAGAGGGTGCTGGGGTGTTGTGGGTTCCTGAGAGGCAGTGCCTACAGATGTCACACAGGGCTGCGCTCGGTGCCAGGGGTGAAAAGTAGCGCAGAGTGGGACGGGCCTGCTTCTCAGATTTTCATGGTAGAGCTGAAGAGTCTTTCTCAAAGGGGCCTTTGGGACCCCAGCAGAATACATGCAATGTTTCTGAATGACTTAAATCTTAGAGAGTTGACTGTGCCTGTTTCTCCCCCAGGATTACGATTTGTGTATCACCTGCTATAACACTAAAAACCATGACCACAAAATGGAGAAACTAGGTCTCGGCCTAGATGACGAGAGCAACAGCCAGCAGGCCGCGGCCACCCAGAGCCCAGGAGACTCTCGCCGCCTGAGCATCCAGCGCTGCATCCAGTCCCTGGTGCACGCCTGCCAGTGCCGCAACGCCAACTGCTCGCTGCCGTCCTGCCAGAAGATGAAGCGGGTCGTGCAGCACACCAAGGGCTGCAAGCGGAAAACCAATGGAGGCTGCCCCATCTGCAAGCAGCTCATCGCCCTGTGCTGCTACCATGCCAAGCACTGCCAGGAGAACAAGTGCCCGGTGCCCTTCTGCCTCAACATCAAGCAAAAGCTCCGGCAGCAGCAGCTGCAGCACCGGCTGCAGCAGGCCCAGATGCTCCGCAGGAGGATGGCCAGCATGCAGCGGACCGGCGTGGTGGGGCAGCAACAAGGCCTGCCCTCCCCGACTCCCGCCACGCCCACCACGCCCACCGGCCAGCAGCCCACCACCCCGCAGACGCCCCAACCCCAGCCCCCCTCTCAGCCCCAGCCTACCCCTCCCAACAGCATGCCACCCTACTTGCCTAGGACTCAGGCTCCTGGCCCTGTCTCCCAGGGTAAGGCGGCGGGCCAGGTGACCCCTCCGACCCCCCCTCAGACTGCTCAGCCACCCCTTCCGGGGCCCCCACCTGCGGCAGTGGAAATGGCAATGCAGATTCAGAGGGCGGCTGAGACGCAGCGCCAGATGGCCCACGTGCAAATTTTTCAGAGGCCAATCCAGCACCAGATGCCCCAGATGACTCCGATGGCCCCCATGGGTATGAACCCACCCCCCATGGCCAGAGGTCCCAGTGGGCATTTGGAGCCAGGGATGGGGCCCACGGGCATGCAGCAACAGCCGCCGTGGGCCCAAGGAGGCTTGCCTCAACCCCAGCAACTACAGCCCGGGATGCCAAGGCCGGCCATGATGTCAGTGGCCCAGCACGGTCAGCCCTTGAATATGGCTCCCCAACCGGGACTGGGCCAGGTAGGCGTGAGCCCTCTCAAACCAGGCACTGTGTCTCAACAAGCCTTACAAAACCTTTTGCGGACTCTCAGGTCTCCCAGCTCTCCCCTACAGCAGCAACAGGTGCTTAGTATCCTTCACGCCAACCCCCAGCTGTTGGCCGCGTTCATCAAGCAGCGGGCTGCCAAGTATGCCAACTCTAACCAACAGCCCCTCCCCGGGCAGCCTGGCATGCCCCAGGGCCAGCCGGGGCTGCAGCCACCTACCATGCCGGGCCAGCAGGGCGTCCACTCTAATCCGGCCATGCCGAACATGAACCCCATGCAGGCAGGCGTCCAGAGGGCCGGCCTGCCGCAGCAGCAGCCACCGCAGCAGCAACTCCAGCCACCCATGGGAGGGATGAGCCCCCAGGCTCAGCAGATGAACATGAATCACAACGCCATGCCTTCACAGTTCCGAGACCTCTTGAGACGGCAGCAGATGATGCAGCAGCAGCAGCAGCAGCAGCAGGGAGCCGGGCCCGGAATCGGCCCTGGAATGGCCAACCACAACCAGTTCCAGCAACCCCAGGGAGTTGGCTACCCCCCACCGCAGCAGCAGCAGCAGCAGCAGCGGATGCAGCATCACATGCAACAGATGCAACAAGGGAACATGGGACCGATGGGCCAGCTCCCCCAGGCCTTGGGAGCCGAGGCAGGAGCCAGTCTGCAGGCGTATCAGCAGCGACTCCTCCAGCAACAGATGGGGTCCCCCGCTCAGCCCAACCCCATGAGCCCCCAACAGCATATGCTCCCAAACCAGGCTCAGTCCCCACACCTCCAAGGCCAGCAGATCCCTTCTTCTCTCTCCAATCAAGTGCGTTCACCCCAGCCTGTCCCTTCTCCACGGCCACAGTCCCAGCCCCCCCACTCCAGCCCTTCCCCGAGGATGCAGCCTCAGCCTTCTCCACACCACGTGTCCCCACAGACCAGTTCTCCACATCCTGGACTGGTAGCTGCCCAGGCCAACCCCATGGAACAAGGGCATTTTGCCAGCCCGGACCAGAGTTCAATGCTTTCTCAGCTCGCTAGCAATCCAGGCATGGCAAACCTCCATGGTGCAAGCGCCACGGACCTGGGACTCAGCACCGATAACTCAGACTTGAATTCAAACCTCTCACAGAGTACACTAGACATACACTAGAGACACCTTGTAGTATTTTGGGAGCAAAAAAATTATTTTCTCTTAACAAGACTTTTTGTACTGAAAACAATTTTTTTGAATCTTTCTTAGCCTAAAAGACAATTTTCCGTGGAACACATAAGAACTGTGCAGTAGCTGTTTGTGGTTTAAAGCAAACATGCGAGATGAACCTGAGGGATGATAGAATACAAAGAATATATTTTTGTTATGGCTGGTTTCCCACCAGCCTTTTTTTCCCCCCTTGTGTGTGTGGTTCAAGTGTGCACTGGGAGGAGGCTGAGGTCCGTGAAGCCAACCATATGCTCCTGCCTTGCACCTCCAATAGGTTTTATTATTTTTTTTAAATTAATGAAAATATGTAATATTAATAGTTATTATTTACTGGTGCAGATGGTTGACATTTTTCCCTATTTTCCTCACTTTATGGAAGAGTTAGAACATTTCTAAAACCAGAGGACAAAAGGGGTTAATGTTACTTTAAAATTACATTCTATATATATATAAATATATATAAATATATATTAAAATACCAATTTTTTTTCTCTGGGTGCAAAGATGTTCATTCTTTTAAAAATGTAAAAAAAAAAAAAAACAAAAACAAAAAAAAAACTCCTTTCCTCCCCTCAAGTCAACTTTTGTGCTCCAGAAAATTTTCTATTCCGTAAGTCTGAGCGTAAAAACTTCAAGTATTAAAATAATTTGTACATGTAGAGAGAAAAATGACTTTTTCAAAATATACAGGGGCAGCTGCCAAATTGATGTATTATATATTGTGGTTCTGTTTCTTGAAAGAATTTTTTTCGTTATTTTTACATCTAACAAAGGAAAAAATTAAAAAGAGGGTAAGAAACGATTCCAGCGGGATGATTTTAACATGCAAAATATCCCTGGGGTTTCTTCTTTGCTTGCTTTCTTCCTCCTTACCCTGCCCCCACCCCCCATACACACATACACACACACACACACACACACACACTTTCTGTAAAACTTGAAAATAGAAAGCAAAAACCCTCAACTGTTGTAAATCATGCAATTAAAGTTGATTACTTATAAATATGAACTTTGGATCACTGTATAGACTGTTAAATTTGATTTCTTATTACCTATTGTTAAATAAACTGTGTGAGACAGATACCTGACCTTGTTTCACTTCTTGCCATCACATCTTTGTCTTAGCACACATTGATCTGATTCAATGTCTGGTACGTGGGGTTCAGAGGAAAAAACAAAAGCACTAGTTTGCAGCCTTCCTACACTATTACATAAAGTGAATTCACAAATAGATTTTGGTAAATTTATCCAAAGTTCAGGGGAAAAACCAAATACCAGCTAAATGTCAATTTCACCAATTTTAATTGATATTCATTAGCTTTTCACAGCCTGACATAGGACCTTACAGGGATAAGAGTGAGCACCTCAGCTGGATCATACCTAAGTCAGAAGTAGCTCCTTGAGAAAACAGCACTTGCCTTGGGCGACATAAGTGCTTACCCTCTGTTACACTTTGGTTTTGCTACCTGCTAACCAGTAAGTCGATGAGAGGGGACGCGGGGTGAGGATGTAAGAGAGGAAAATGTGTGGAAGTAAAATCTGGAAACCTAAGAGATTACAACAATGAGTCCAGTATTGTGCTAGGTGTTTACAGAATGAAGAGGTCTCCAACTAAATCATTAGAAACTTAAAAAGCAGAATACTGTTAGCTGCTTTGGCGTCATCGGGCAGTCCTTGTTTTTGTCGTAGAGCTTTACCACAGTCCACTAAGGACTAAAGAAAGATCTTCGAGGAGCTTAATTCAAACACCTATTCTATTTTATATTGTCTCAACAAAAATAACCAGCATCTCGATGTGAGATGAACTCGCGCGCTGAGCATTAACCAGAGACCACTCCAGAAAATGTCACGCACCTACCTGCCTTGGCTCGGTGGTCCAGCAGATACACCTGGAGCACCTCCGTTCTGTGCCAGGCAGGATGGCACACAAGGACAGGACGCAGCCCTGCAAGAAAAAAAGATGCTTAAGGGGGATAAAAGTAGAAAGCGTTGATGGTACAAGCAGGGAACAGGTGCAAGTCGGCAAAACCTGCTGATGGGAAAGTCTGGAAAGGATAGTACTTAAAATGGATGTTGGAAGGGCGCCTGCCTGGCTGGCTCAGTCGGTAGAGATGCGACTTAATCACAGGGTCCCAAGGCCGAGCCCCTGTGTGGTGGTGTACAGTTTACAATACATGCGATACTAAAAGAAAATTTAAAAACCAACCTTGGAGGGAAGATGGAAAAGGTGGAGCATGAGTAAGGAGAGAGAAGAATCCGACCCTGTTGGAAAAACAGCTTCAAGGTCCGCTTGACACCAGATTACAGAAGAGGGTGGACACACCTGCTACAGAAAGACCCCTGCCCACCCGTTTTCTCCCTAGTTCTAGGGGCCCAGGATTAATCGGAGCCCCCAACAGGGAAATAACTCAGAATTCTAAGCTATTTCCAAGCAGTAAATACTAGCCTCTAGCTAAGGACAGCTGGGTTGAAGTGTTCAATCATTTTCACTACAATGTTGTAAAGAGGGAGTAGGGGCGGAAATAAGCGGGAAGGGGGGAAAGCTGTCCTTCCCCAGGCCAGGGTCAGTGTTAGGGGGGTAGGTAAGGATGAATCCAGAATCAGGAATACAAGAAGCTGATTTCAATGTTTCTGTGTTTGAATATTCTCACCACGAAAAGTTGGGAAGAGCTGAAAGGCCCAAGTCTCTGGGCTGTTAATAACACATCAGTCTAGGAAGTGGACCCAATGGGGGCGAGTAGTGTTCCAGGTGCTTCCATTTACCTTGCTTATACACAGCCCCAACAGACAAAGGAAAAGTGACAAGTCGCTCAAGGTCGCACAGCCAGTAAATGGCTTCCCACAGTCAAAGGTCTGTGGAGCTCCAAAGCCTCTCTTCTCCGTATCATTCATCCCCCTTAATAGGGAGAAGCCCTAATGACGGCATCAAATTAACCACATACAACACAGGGGCCCCATTCCAAGCAAATGCAACATACAGACTAAAACCTGAGGGGGGGAGGGCAGCAGAGGGGGTGCAGGGAACAAGGAATCATAAAGATAAGTTCCCCAGACTTCTTTTACAACCAGATGGATGGTGTCCTGGAATGCTACATTCATGATGAGGTCACCCTGGTTAAAGAGCATAGACCAGTATCAAAAGTAATAAAACGTTTAAGAATAAAGTTAACAAAAGAGGTGTAAGATTTGTACACTGAAAACTGAAAAAAAAAAAACAAAAAAACAAAAAAACATCGTTCATGGATCAGAAGACTGGGAAGACCTCACTAATGCTGGGCAAAGGTTACGCTCCAAACCCACCTAGAGATTCAATGCAACCCGTACCAAATTATCTGCTGGCTTTTTTCTTTTTCCTTGGAAGACACTGAGATGCCGATCCTAAATTGTATATGGAAATGCAAAGGAGCCAAATAGCCAAAACAATCTTGAAAAAGAAGTATAAATTTGGAGGACTCATACTTCCAAATTTCAAATTTAAACTACAAATCTACATTTCACGAAGATGGCGCTAAAGGCAAAGAAGGAAGCCCCTGCCCCTCCCAAAGCTGAACTGAAAGCACAGGCTTTGAATGCCAAGAAAGTGGTGCTGAGAGGCGTCCACAGTCACCAAGAAGAAGAAGAAGAAGAAGAAGAAGAAGAAGAAGATGATGATCACTGGTCTGTCACTAATCGGAAGAGTAATTAACCTGATCTTGGGGTTATAAGTTCAAGCCCCACATTGGGGGTAGAGATCATTAAAAAAAAATACACTTTAAAACAAAAAAAGAAGATCCGCACGTCACCCACATTCCTATGGCCCAAGACACTGTGTCTCCTAGGGCAGCCCAAATATCCTTGAAAGAGGCCCCCTAGGAGAAACCAGCTTGAGCACTATGCCATCATCAAGTTCCCCCTGACTACTGAGTCAGATATGAAGAAAACAGAAGACAACAACACACTTGTGTTCATTGTGGATGTTAAGGCCAACAAGCACCAGATCAAACAGGCTGTGAAGAAGCTCTATGACACTGATGTGGCCAAGGCCAACACCCTGATCAGGCCCGGCAGAGAGAAGATGGCATATGTTCCAATGGCTCCTGACTAGGAGGATGCTTTGGATATTGCCAACAAAATTGGGATCATCTAAACTGAGTCCAACTGGCCAAATTTAAACTTTTTCACTGTAAAAAATTTTAATACAAAATAAACTACAAATCCAAAGTTGTTAAGATAACAGTAGTAGCATAAGGACAGACATTTAGATCAATGGAACAGAGTCCAGAAATAAACCCAAATATTTCAGTTGAGTTTTGGCAAGAGTGCCAGGAGAACTCAATGCAGAAGGAATAGTCTTTTCAACAAATGGTGCTGGGACAATGGGATATCCACAATGTGAAAGAAAGAAGTTGGACCTCTACCTCATGCCAAATACAAAAATTAACTCAAAATGTAACAGCCAAACCTACAAAAGTCATAGAAGAAAACAGGTATAAGTCTTCATAACCTTGGATTAGTCAATAATTACCTAAATTAAAGCACAAGCAACCAGGAAAAAAATTGGACTTGAACATAATTTGAAACTCTTGTACATCAAAGGATAGTATCAGGAAAGTGAAAACACTCCCATGGAATGGGATAATGTATTTGCAAATTCTATCTGATAAGGGTCTGTGTATCTGGACTATATAAAAACTCTGATACCAAGGGGCGCCTGGGTGGCTCAGCAATTGATTAGTTCAAGCCCCACTTTGGGCTCTGCACTGACAGCGTGGAGCCTACTTGGGATTCTCTCTCCCCCTCTCTCTCTCTCTCTGCCCCTCCCCTGCTCGCTCGCTCGCTCTCTCTCTCTCTCTCAAAATAAATAAACTTTAAAAAATGGAATCATCATGGGGCGCCTGGGTGGCTCGGTCGGTTGGGCGTCCGACTTCGGCTCAGGTCATGATCTCACGGTCCGTGAGTTCAAGCCCCGC